TATATTATGGCTAACCCCCCCCCCCCCCCCCTACCTACCCCCCACTCTACCACCCACCCCCTTACCCCCCCTCCCCTCACCATGGCAGAGGCTGCCAGCCAGCTGAAGGCCATGTTCCCCGACATGCCCGACGAGACGCTGCAGCTGGTCCTCGACTCGACAGGTGGTGACGTCCACGCCGCCCTCAACACCCTCCTCGCCATGCATGCTGAAGACATGTCAGGGGATGAACTCTCTGATTCTCATCCAGACGCATGTGCTGCCTCGCTCAATGAGACCGTCCTCGCCACCACGCCCACTGCAGGCTCGCTGCTGCCCTCTGCTACTGGTCCCGCTGCGCATCTCGTTCGCACACAATCGCTCGCTGCCTCGACGACTTCGCTCGAGTGCAATGCGCAGCAATCGGTGTGGGACGATGATGGCGATGCTGACGAGGACGAAGACGGCGGAACAAGCGAGTCGGTTCCCGGCCTCGGTGTCTCGGTCAAAGGCCTCAGCGGAAGCCACAGCATTGTGCGGGGGATCGTGAGCGATTGGTCTGTCCTGCCGCTAGATGATGCCGCCGGTGCTCAAGTATCTGCGCTGTATGCCGAGGCCGAGGTCATGGCCGGCCTTGCGCCTGCCGAGCTGGCTGCACGGCTGAGCGAGGAGCGGGCTCGCGAAAAGGCCCAGATGGAGGAGCGCGACGCTCTCATCGCCCGGCGGTTGTACGCGCTGGAGCTGGGAGAGCAGGGTGTGAGTGGTGAGGCAAACGACGCGTCGTCAGTCGTCGAGCTCCACTCGATGCTGGTCAACAATCCAGACATGGTCGAGCGATTCAAGGCTGCGCTCGTCCCGCTCATCCGTGAGCGCATCGAGGGCGTCGTCCTCTCACCGTTGCACGGCTCTACCCAATCGGGTGCCATCGAGTACACCATTGAGGCCTCGCGTGTTGCATCCTTGGAGCTCGACACCGAAAAGGTCACCGTCATTGTCGCAGACGTCATCGTGGTCATGGTCGAGGAAATGGCCCTCGTTCTCGAGCCTGCCCCCTGGTCGTACACCAAGCACTCGCGCCCCACCTTTTCGTCGTCAGGCACCGTCCAGCCCAAGCTGTACAAAACCCAGCTCAATGCCACCATGCGCTTTGGCATTGATCGCCATGGCGCTCCCGCCCTCTTCACCACCCTCCCCACCTCGGTCAAGGTCAACAAGCTCAAGCTCAAGATCCAGGGCACATGGGCCAAACTCCTCTACTCGGCTCTCATTGCGCTTTTTAAGAAGCGGCTCTGCTCAGAGATCGAGTCCTCTATGGGCCTCGCCCTCGACGATGCCATCAACAACGAGTCGGCCTCCATGCTCGCCGCCGGCCTGGTTTAGCTGCTGCGCCGATGCCGCGCCGATTGGCCGGCGCGTGGAAGGACACGGCTACATGTGCTGGTGACGTGTGCAACAGTTAACTGCCCCGTGGAGTCGCCGGCGCCGATGCCGACAGCACCGCCGCCGCCGTCGCCGAGTTGATCTCGCGCCGCAGAGCCTGGACCAGCGCCTCGAGCTCGCGCTCAATCCGGGTCGACGCCTCGAGCCGATCCAACTTTTCCCACGCCGTCCGCTGTCCGCGGTCGATGGCATTGGATATGAGGTCCTGCGTCGGATTGGAGATGACGTACAGGTAGTCGGAGAGTCCAAGCTGAGGGATAAAGGTGATGTGACCCTTGTACGTCTGCTCCAGCAGCGGAATAACCTGGGCAAGGACCGCAGGAAGGAGCCGCAGCCGCGCGAGCTGCGACAGCCGGTGCCGGACCTCGGATGTGACCACGTAGCCGAGGGCCGCCAGGAACCGCGACGGCAGCCGCGTCGTGCGCAGCCGCGGTGCAGAGAGGAACGGGACCACATGCGGATTGACCTGCGAGACAATGAACGAATTGACGTTGAACAGCTCCGAGAGCCGCGCCATTGGCAAGTCGTGGTAGATCGAGCCGTCCATCCACAGCTCGCCCGACGGCTCCCACGGCATTGTCTGTCCGTCGGGCGAGACTTCCACAATCTCCACTGGCGCGTACACATATGGGATAGCACATGAGGCTAGCGCGGCCGACCAGATCAGCACCGACGGCGCAGACAGGTAGTTGAGCAGCCGCGATCGGTGCTTTGTCTGCGTCGACGAGACCGTGATGTTGAGGATCCTTCCCGTCCGCCGGTACGCCTCTACAAACGTGACATCGCCGATGTTGTCGCGGAGGCACGCCTCAAGCTTGGTGATGTCCATCAGCACGCCCTGCGTCACCAGCCGCTTGATCTTGCGGAACGTGCCACCGGGGCCGAGCGAGTCGAACGCGTTGAGGTTGATGGCGTGCGGGAGAAAGAGGCCCGGCAGCTCGTCGTCGGTCCGCACTGCCACCATAGCCGCCACCAGAGCGCCTGCTGATGAGCCCGAGATGACTCGCGGAAGAAGCTGTGCCTCAAACAGCGTCTTGATGATGCCCAGATGGTACATGCCGTTCGAGGCCCCACCCGAGAGCAGCAGTGACGACCGGCCGTACGATTGCCTGACCTCGTAGAAAAAGTTGAACTTGTCCTGATGGCTGGCGAAGGGATTGCCGCGCGCCTTCCGGTCTGCAAGCCCCCGCCCCACACCAATACTCTCCAAGTCGGTGTCTTCGCCGAACGATGCCAGTTCTCCGGGCGCTAGCCCGCCGTGCAGTACGGTCGAGAGCGCAAAGTTGGAGATCGACGACGTGATGACACCGCCGGTCGGTAGGGCGAGCCCACCAGCCAACGGGAAGCTTGCCATGGCAACGCTGCCATCGCCAGCGCTGGCATCGGCTGCCTCAGCCAGCGCGACTGGGCTTTCAGGCTTGATGACGGCCAGGGCGCGGAGGCCGGCAACGACCTCGCGGACGTAGGCCTCGACCACTCGCTTTGTCCCGACATAGGTGTGTGCATAGAGCTGCGGATTGCCTATTCCGCCCACGTTGCGGAGAGTGCCCTTGCGGAGGAGCGAGACGAGGGCCATCCAATCGCCATCGGCCCGAGCCTGGGCGAGGGCGGCGGTCCGCTTGGCCACACCGGGCGCATCGTACAGAGTGTCATCGCCATCGTCCTTCTTCCACGCCTCCCTTCCTGTCAGCCGATCGAGCTCGCGGGCAAGCAGGGCATACTCACCGTAGTTCCTCGCCTCGTCCAGCAGCGAGAGCAGATCACGGACTCTTCGAGAGAGCCACACCGCCTTGACGGCAGCCAGGACGGCCGACTCGACCAGAGCCAGCAGTCCAAAGACGACCGAGGCGACCAGCGTCACCACGCCCACCACCACCGCAACCACTCTGCCCACCACCATCCGAGCGATAGCCGACTTTTGAGTGAGAAAGAGACGTGGTGGCGTTACCGGTGGCGTTGGTGGTGGTGGGTGGCGGTGGCGGGCTGTGGCGTGTCGGGTGAGTGCGGGCGGGCGGGCGGGCGGGCGGGCGGGCGGG